CCCATAGAAAGAAATCTGGAATTTTAAGACCTGGTGAGCGCTCGGCCAAGTGACACCACCAAAACGTGGGATAACTCTTCTAGGGAATGTTCACCGAAGGAATTACATTCTAATGCGAGCTGTATGCACTGTTGCCCCATCTTGTTGGAACCATACGTCATTACGTATCTCGACACATTGATGGCGCAGTTCCGGCAAGAAATATTCTTCCAACATTTCTAGGTACCGTTGTGGATTCACTGTCACTGCTCTGCCGGTGCGGCTAGGACTCTGAACTGTTGCAAGGCGCACTCTTTCAACTGTCTCAGGGGTACTAACTGTCCTTGCCAGTCCAGGAGGTTTCCTCTTAAGCAAGGAACCAATTGAGTTAACATTATGTATCCAACGCAATATCGTGTGACGATCAGGGGTAGCGCCATACCGTGCAATGTTAAAATGTGTACGAAAGTCTCGCTGAGTCTGAGTGACTGATTCACCATTTGCGTAATATCGTCGCATGGCAAACATACGACACTTTCTTGTATAGGCTGTGAAAAATGCAATAGACCATTGTTTTTTTTAAATTTTTATCAAACATCTTAATTTTTATCTTTGAATCTATTTGCAATGGAGTTTTTACAACTGATCCTCCGTCATTTTCTATTATTCTTGTTCAAAGTTTTATGTAGAACACGAAAATGACATTATCTACTCAAATCCATATACAGGTAACTGAGAAATCGCTGTATTAAGTTTTAGCATGGTTATTTTTGAAAAACATAAAATAATTTTTTGGGAAGCTAATTTTTAGACTTGGAACATTTGATATGCATCATCACACTTCATTTACTTTGTACTTACACCAAAGAATTTTTGTCACACTGAGTACCAATCACCCTGTATAGGCCCATATATAATCCAATGTATGTATGTTTGTTTGTTTGTTTGTCCTCTATGGACTCCAAAACCGCTCGACAGATTGTAATGAAACTTTCAGGCATTATTTAGCATTATTCAAGGATGGTTTGTGTGAAGTTTGGTGCAGATCTGTCAAAAGGGCTCCGCCCCAGTGGGTCTGGAGTTTTCCATGTTAACGTTATGAGTACTCATATTTAAATGGAATTAATGAATCTTAACTGCTGGTTCAACTAAAAAATTTGATTCTGTGATGTTCAATAGCATTAAAAAGTTAATAGATTTACCAACAGGGTGCAGCACTATTATTTTTTTATTATTTATGACAAAAGCTAATTTGCAACCAAAAGGTGAGTGAGCGTGGCGAACGAACTTCAACCTGGAGGCGAGTTAGCGTAGTGAACGAGCTAACCTGAAGGCAAGTGAGCGCAGCGAACGAGCTCCAACCTAAAGGTGAGTGAGCGTAGCGAACGAACTTCAACCAGGACGTGATTGAGCCATGGGAACGAGCTCATCTTGAAAATGAACGAGCATTTGACATAAAACCATATTAGGACAGGACGACGTCTGTCGGGCCAGCTAGTATATATATAAAACAAAGTCCTGTTAGTTACACTACTTATAACTCAAGAACGGCTGGACTGATTTGAAAGATTTTTGATTTGTTGGATTCTTCTTTGTCTTGATTAACGTATAGGCATATTCAGTTTTACATTTAACCTCAAGCGGGGTTTGCACTAGCATGTAGCGCTTGCATAAGTTTTACTTGTATCCTACTTTCATAACAACTTGCAAATGTAAACACTAACATGTACGAAAGTTAAACTTGCAAGGCTGACTAGCATGCATTTTTTACTTACACGTAAGATCCACTTGCACGCCGGCTCCACTTGCCTGTGTAAACACGAGACTTGCAGACCACTCCTACTTGTGTATTTTTTATAGTTGTAGTGGTTATTGAGTCGTCACGGCTGAATAGTAATTCGTTGGCTTCTTCAAAAAGCTCATCTTGTAACACACTGACTACATATCTCACTACAGCCCTAACATCTTCTATAAAATCTGACGTGCCGCATAACATGTACAACTGCACTGACTGGACTTGGGCAAGTTCCACTTGCAAAGGTAGGTGTAGTGTAAACCTTAACTTGCATGACCATGCAAGTAAAACTTGCACAAACGCTACATGCTAGTGTAAACCCCGCTGGCCTGTAAAGTTTGCATATTAAACTTATGGAGCTATTGGAAGAATGTAAATAAATAAATATACTAAGTCAGCTGTACAATTTGACAGTTCAAAGAGCAGAGGTTAAGATGTACAGGTTCTGCTCCCAAGATTCTTAAGCTGATTATGAGAATACTTTACAGTAGTTTTACTGATTAACACGTCATGTTTGGATAACAATTTTAACTAGATGGTTTTTTTTTAACTAAATGAAAAAAAGTTATATTTTTTAACATTTAGGTGACTATTTACACCATTATTTATTTTCACTCAATTTACAAACTAAATTTCAATTGCACTACCATTTTTTTGTCCAGGTAGCTACTACTTATAAAATTTTCATCTATTATTTACTTAGACCACAGAAAACATACTACTATAACCCAGAATGTCAACCATATGGTAAAAAGCATTAAGTACTTTGAGAGAGCTTTGCCTGTCAATTCGCTGGTGGCGCTGCCTACGAATTGACAGACAAAGCTCTCTCAAAGTACTTAATGCTTTTTACCATGCGGTTGGCATTCTGGGTTATAGTAGTATGTTTTCTGTGCTTTAGACTTAATTTACTAAATATACTTGAAGTCTCTTCTTGAATACTTTGACGCTCTTGAAGTCTCTCTTTGTATGCTATTGTAAAATCTAAAGCCTTTTTGAACTGTATTTCATGAGTGGTTTCGATTGAGTGTCCTGATGGTAAAATACTTAATTTCACTTCACATTGCAGAAGCTTTTTTCACATTTAGAGAAAATGTGTTGTGTTTTTCTACAACACTGCTAAGCTTCAATTTTACTATGGAGAATATCACAAAACTAAGTTGTAGGCAATTTACTTTTCCTTCTAAAATCAATTAAATATTTATAAGTATATTCCTTTACTCTACGGTTAGCGTGTAAATTAATGTAAAGAACTGGTATGTACTACGTTGTTGAATTCTTATCATACTTTTTTTTATTATTTATTCTTATTACAGTAGAACCTTGATAACAAGGCTCTCATGGGGATTATAAAATAAGACTTGTTATCAAGGTTGTCTTGTTATTGAGGTTTGCAATAAAATGTGATGGGTAAAATAAATTCTAGGGGATTTAAAAATGACACTTGTTATCAAGGGTGACTTGTTATCGAGGGTCTTCTTATCGAGGTTCCACTGTATTATAATTTGTGTAGTATTATACAAGTTGATAAAATTTGTGCCCCGATTTATGATAATAGAGATGGCTCTCTTACAAAATGTAATACAATTTGTCTGTAATTTTATTTTTGCTTACTGTGATATTTACATAATGAGCTGCAGGTAATGATTCCTGACAAAAGTTCAGTGGGTAGGGTACAACATAGGCCTATCTATTTTATGTGAAATCATATTGTTCTTTGCTTTAATACAGTACCCTAAGTTGTGCAATTCTTTTTTTACCCATCAACTTTTAATATGTAAGTTTTTTCAATTAAGCAAACTTTGAAATACAGTAGACTCCCTCTTATCCGGACTCCTCAGGACCGAGGCCAATCCGAATAACGGGTTTTCCGGTTAAACCGACGTCCCCAAAACTCGTTAAAACGGACAGTTTACTGTGGTATTTGACTTAAATTTAGGAGAGCATTGTATTTAGACGCGTGATCACTGGTCTCAAATCTTTCCCACAGGAACAGTTGTTTCAGTACCACCATAGAATTAAATATAGACCGTCAGCTGTGCTGCGGTTACCATAGGTTCTGGCGCACACGGCTTCGAGCGCCATGTAGTTACGGCGAACGCGCTACGTAAACTACAGCGGTGTGCGCCGGAACCTATGGTAACCGCAGCACGGCTGACAGTCTATATTTAATTCTTTTTGTCTATGGTACCGCCCACTTCCTGCCGATCTAGTCCAGTTAAACCATTGTGCTGATAAAAATTGTCCAGTTAAAGAGATGTCATTTCCGCCGAGTGTTTTCTGGTTAAATCAATGTCCAGTTAAAAGGTTTCCGGAGTATATCTACTGTAAGCTTAATATTAAAAATTAAATTGTATGTTACAGTATTTTCATACATGCATCAGCGCCTCATATAATTTTTAATAGGAAGCCTTATAAGTTAGCCTAGCTTGAAAGAAAGATATTTTTTTCAAACTAACAGGTCAAATGAAATATTTTTATGTCCACGGGACACCCTGTACACCAGATCAATTTAATTAAGTTAAAACATAATAAATGGTTTCACCAATCAAGTCACCACCTGACAGTGATCTTAGACCCGAGGTGACTGTGTTGCCATTTATAAAATATTAAACAAATCAAAAGACTGCATTTGGGTGTCGCTTACCTCTCCGATCACATCAAGATGTGTGCATTCACCAGTTTGACTAAAAACAACTAGTACAGCAAAGCATGTTTTGTTAAAGAATAGTTCAAATAATAGACATTGTAAGAAAAAGTTTTACTTAACATCAGATCAGATACAAGCGCCAGGGTATGGGCCCAAAAGATTATTGCGTCCTCCGCCCTCCTTCTCTGTGGGAAAACTTTAGCATTATCATTAAATCATACCATTAATGGCAGCCAGAACTGGTGTTGTTATATAGTATATATATTTTTTTTTGTTATGCCTAAAAATATCAAACTACAACCAATAAAATACCAGCAGTATAATGAGGTATTGTGTTTGTCGTCTTGGAATTTTTATGGATTTCTAAAATTATCTGTTTTAAGTAAAAAATGCTATTATCCACTATTATTGTAACGTAATCTTAAAATAAAGCGAATTGAGGGAGGAATTAAAATTTTAGACACTTGTTCTTAATAAAACAAATAGATATACATACATAAGAAATTGTTATCTATATAGCTTATTATCATAAGATAGATAGTTGACGAGACGAGGAATTCAATAACAGAAATTACACCAGTTCTTTTACTGTTTAATTTTTTACAAAATCTCAACAGTACAATTTTGTTAAACCTTTTAGCTTTGACAGAACTCTCTGATTACAACATACTTTTTGAGACACTCATCAGCCTTTTCCTATGGGCACTTGCTGGCTGTTTATAAACCAAATATACATCAGATTGAACAACAACACATAAAATAAATATTGATTTAATGTATAAATATGAAAGCTGAAATAAATTAAGTACATAAATAATCTATTATGTGGCAAAAAAAGGAAACCTAATTATCAAATTTATTATGTAAAAAAGAAACAACCAGTAAGGTTAGCCCACCTTACTCTTATCACAAGCTTTTAAAATAGGATTGCTATTCTTCTACTGACTTTTATCTGTCAATGCAAATGTTCTGTTCAAATGAATGGACATATTCAAAACTATACTTGTATAAAATTACTTATTTTCAATTAGGCTATAATATACTGTGACTACAAAAAAGTAAACCAGCAGCAGAATGATTACAACATAAGAAATTTCCAAATAGTATACAAATACATTCGTGATATTTTTTTTTATGTGTCATATCAACAGACAACAGCAACATAAACTAAGGACGATAATAGACTCATAGGCGTTAGCACACCCTGTGAATAGGCTCTGTCAACTATGTTCTTTTTAAATATAAAAAAAAAACATAATATTACCGCCGCAGCAAACCTAAGTGAATTTCTATTTGTAAGATTTCCCATGGTCCCATCATGCTGGTTTGCGAATTTGTTTGAACGTTTAAACCGATTTTCATCAAAACCAGATAATTTTTACTCAAGAGAAACAGCTGTTGTACTAATTCATAATGGAATGGACCTTCTGCGCAATGTTTATGATTACACGTTTGTTTTTACTATATGACTTCAGTATCCAAAAGCAATAATGATGATATTTACTTCCAAAAAGCTCCACCTATCAACTTTAGACATTCATGAGGTGCAGTTAGAGATGATTACAAGGATATGAATTAGCCTGATCTAACATTCTGTGTAATTTTAGCCCAGTCGGTTCAATAATTTTTACGTTTACCAGGAAAAACGCATTAAAGACAGGCATTCATAAACAATTTCTTCTTTGTAATATAATTGATGACAAACTGATGTTTAGTAATTTGTATACTATTGATTTGTTTTGAGTTTGTAATTTATTCTACATGAAATAAGATTCAGCAGTATATAGTTGACATAAACAATAGCTATAAGTAATTTTGTTAGTATCGTTTGTAGGATCAGTATTACATTTGATTAATTCTGCTGTCAGTTGAATCTGGGTTGGTTTAAGGAGCAACTTATTTTAAATTTGAAAAGTAAAAATGCTAGTCTCTGGCAAATATGATTAATATAAAAACTTAATGTCCACTACTGACAATACCTTTGCTTTGGAAACAGTCTTTTCAAGGACCTTAAATAGTTGCTACCTTAAATAACTTATGGATGAGTATTATTATATACTTATATTGCACATTTTATTTACAAGTAAAGTAGGTTCTAAACACTACTATTCTACAATCTAGTTATATTAATATTTTACTGTACACATCGTCATTATCCATTCAAACAGAACATTATGCAGCTAGAAAGAAATTTCCCTCAATTTATTCCCTACAATTCTACGAATTATCTATTTTAATATTTTTAATCAACCCAATCACAGTGTTGTATTACCATATGTCTTGTTATATATTACTTAATTAACACGATGTCACTTGACATGGTACCAGAGTGTATTTAAAGAAACTGAAATGTTTATTCCAGTTATAGGAAATCATTCATTTGCAGTAGGCTATATAACATTTGAGTCTACCTTTACTAAATAAGAAAAAATATAAGAAAATTTAAACATGTATAAATATATAATTCAGGTCTACCTAATTAGATCAATAGTTTAAAAATCAATAAAAAATGTCTGGTCTTAATTTATTATTGGCAAGAGATCCAACAATTAACTTTGTTTTAATTGGATAAAATAAGAAAATGAATCACTAATGTTTTCTAAAATTGCTATAGGTTTTAACAAGTGTGTTTTTTTTTTACTATATACAAAGTTATAAATTAGTTTCTTTTGTAAAAAATACAAATATCATGGTATAGGGTTGAAGGGAAACTAAAACACCACAGCCTTGCTGTGCCTATGCATTACAATTGAAACAGAATACCTTGTATAACAAAGAATTATATTTAAACTAAAGAAATTTAAGGAATGCTAGTTTCATCAAACCAAAACTGGTGTTGAGAGTAAAATATGGAAAATAATAGAGCAGGTATGTATTTACAAAAGTAAAAACATAGAGATAAAATTAAACATCATATTTCACCTCACCAATATATTTACACCAAAGAGAAGATTGACAAGTCCCTAGTAGAAAAAATAAGAAGGTCCCCCTGCTATGGTAAAAACACTTCAATACAATTCATATTACAATGATGATAATTATGCACAGTTGTCCAAAAATTACCACTTTATGTTACGTACAGGTCACATTATGAGAAGTTTGTCTGCAGTAACGGTAATGGTAATGTCAGCTCCAAGTTCTGAAAAAAATCCATAATTTAGTCAGCAATAAAAAAAAAAATTCTTTCTAATAACATTAATAAATAAATCGTAAGAACCTTGGGTATTGGTTAGGCTTTAACATGCATTTGCACTAGCCTAGTATATTTAGCCAATGCTATAGTCCATTAACAAAATTTAGGCGGATTGAGGGATTCCCCAACCACTTTTTTGTTAAATGTATGTTGCAGCTGATTGACAGGTGGAAAATAAATGTTTATATTTTACTTGTTACCTCAGCTGTTTTGTTTAAAAGGTAGAGTGAAGTGGAGGGTATAGATTTCTTCTCCTAAAACCATCTACATTTTGTGGACAGTGTAAACTCAATTGATGGCTGTACCTGTACAACTTCATGTAAAAGTTAAGTTAGGTAGGAACATTTAAAGTTTGGATCTTAGGCCTAATGCTTATTTTTTGAGGTTAAAATTGTAATAGCTTGGACCGATTATGGATTTTATTGATACTTTGATCATTTTGATACTTTTAAGTGGCTACAGGCACCAGCTTAAAATCTTAAATGTAGTAACTTGGAATCAATTGTGTAAAATGATAATTTAAAAAAAAATCATGTTTAGTTTTAACCGTTTGATAAGATATCTAGGCCTAATCTAGACTTAACACCATATCAACAATTGTTACAAAAATACCCAATTAGCTTTATTTAAACTCCGTGGACCATAAATAAAAGTTCTAAAAATCCTAACTGGAGAGCAGCACTACATGCAGCTGAGTGCATAGCAACGCTGGTGGCGCTGCCTACGAATTGACAGGCAAAGCTCTCTCAAAACACTTCATGCTTTTTACCATGCGGTTGGCATTCTGGGTTATAGTAGTAGTATGTTTTCTGTGTTGCTACACATGTTTTGGTGGCTCTTTAACTCTGCCATCGTCAGGCTTACAAAATATCAACTTCTGGAGGTGTCGTCATAATACGTTTCAAACATCTAGAAAAAACATGAGACCATTATTACATACAGGCCTATCAATTCACGTGTGTAAATTGACGGGGGCAGGACTGGAAGTAAACTGAATCAGGTTCAGGTATGACGGACCAACGTGGTCTCTGGATTGTCGTCTGCGTTTTCGACAGCTGATATTGGACTATTATAGTGACTGAGAAGAGTGTTGAAAATATAATGGGATTCGTGAATTTATATATTTCAAACTCTTCCAAAGTATTTAATAAATTTCCTTTCTCGCAGTAATGTAGAATTTTGAGACCATAATTTATCCAGCATATAAATTGGTTATTATTATCAATAATTTTGAATGGAAAACTCAATTATGAATCCCATTATATTTTCAACACTCTCCTTCGTCACTACAATTAGTCCAATATCAACTTTTGATAACACAGACGACAATCCCGACCACGTCAGTCCGTCATAACCTGATTCAGTTTACTTCCAGTCCTGCCCGCGGCAATGTACACGCATGAATTAATAGGCATACCTGTTATAGTTTCGCGTTTTGTGTTTAATGTATGTTACATATTCTGACGATACCTCTAGAAGTGGATCCTTTTGTCAGCCTGACAATGGTGGAGTTAAAGAACCGCCAAAACATATGTAGCAAGTAGAATTTGACACTAGTACATTTATTATGGATTGTTTGACAAGATACGTTTCTACCGTTATTAGTCATAAAACGCAATCCTGGGGCTATCAAAATGAATTATAAAATTACTTTGTCACAAAAACATTTCATACTGGTGGCAGTTAAGGTATTGTGGGTATTTGACCCGGCGATTTTTGTAGAAGACAGCCTGGGAGTGGCGAGCAACCACTCATAGTCTGCTCTATTTCGTGACTCTGCCTAATTTTGAAACAAGATACTTTTTGCCAAAGTATTATTCATGCATTTAAAGTTGTTTGAATTTCTTAAGCACTGTAAAAAGTTACACAACCTAATATAATTGTACAGTTACAGTACTGTGTTGGAGTAGAGTAATTCACCGAGTATATTGTTCAACGTTTTGAAGACGCTATCTATTGCAATACTAAGCACATGCTGGCTGACAATCTATTATTCTAATTCCGTAAGGAATTTCTTGTGCACAGCAAAACTCTTTTATTTATTAACCGATTTTGATGATTAAGGTGTCAAATAAAAGGGAATTCTCTGTAGAAGTCATGGAATAACTTTTGTCACGCTCAGTTCAATGTGCTCTGCTCCATTGGACTTTAAAGTTTTCATGTATTTTAAACATACAAGTCCAAATTTGTTAAGATTACCTAACATATGATTCATTTTTTAAAAGAAAACATCTGTCTTCATAAAAATAGCCTGTTTCCCTTCTGTCATTTTAATATTTACTTTTTCTGTTTACCTATCAGTTTACCTTCAAATACAATGATTACTTATGAGATGGGATAGTTTATTTATGCAGTTTCATTCATAGGGAGTAAAAACCAGTCTATTTCATTATATTATGTGATTGTATTTTATTTTAAGATAATGGTGTGTTTAACGTTTTCATAGATATTTTTATGTGTTGTGTTTTGCAATTTTTCATTTTGATTAGCCTATCATAAAAATCTACCTAGAAGAAACAATCCCGTGTTTGCGATTCGGCGACGTATTAACAACAGAGATGGTATGATAAAAAAATTTTGAAAAGTTACCTATGCTGGTTTTTGAAGTTCAAAGAAATGTTATGCGACCACTTGATTTTTTTAAATATTGCACGGACAGATGCTGTCACAAAACAGACTATTTTGACTTAGGTGATCTTAGCGTACAGTACAAAACAGATTTAAATTGCCAATAAAATTAAATGAGTCAGTCTCAGTCTCCGGAATAAAATCCAATAGTACGAAGCTAAATATTTGTAAAATAATATTATAGGATGAAGCTTCTATGTCCAATAAGTATGCTTTATCGTCTGCAGAATGATTACTGTGAAATATCTCCAAAAGAGATGGCCAAGCAAAGCCTTTTGGTGGAAAGGTTTTGGAGGTAATTTCCAGCAATGAGCTACCATAGTCTCTGGTGCAAGTCGCTGTGAAATGGTAGAAAATTCAATAATTATATCACCTTTATGGTCAATGTTTAAAAATGCTTCACTTGCTAAAAACATGAGAGCAAATTCAAGGGAATCAATATTTGATGAATATCTTTTACGAAGAAGGAATGGCCAAGAGAGCTACCTTAATGGTCTTTGTGAGACATTGATAAGTCTTCCACCACAATGTATTGCGAATAAAAATAGGCTAACATTGACGAAATCTTCAGTGAAGGATTCTCTGAAGTTGCTTAAAAAAAGACAAAAATCATGCAAGAATTTAACCAAAGAATGAACATGGTAACCAAATCAATCATAAAATAGCTAAGCAACTAAATAATGACAGTAGAGTTTACTACTCAGTGGACACTTTGATTCAAGAAGAGGAAGACCGGTTACATGTCCCTGATGAATTTCTCCACACTTTAGCACCAAGTGGTTATGTCTCACAAGTGATGTTTATAAAAAGGTGGAATTGTAATTTTACTAAGAAATTTAAATCCACAAAAAGGACTGGTTAATGGAACCAGAATAATGGTGAAAGAGATTAATGACAAAGTCTTAAATATGAAAATGATTACTGCAAGTTCGGCTGGAAAGCGAGTATTATTATTCCAATTAAGTTTAGAATCGTCAGAGTTAAATTTTCTCCTGAAATTCAAACATCTGCAGTTCCAATGCCAAATTGCTTTTGCCATGACCATCACAAAAATTCAAGGACAGACACTTGAAAACGTTGGTCTTATCTGCCATAGCCCTGCTTTCAACATGGGGCACTGTACGTACCGCGCTTTTGATTAACTAAAAATAATGGTGAAAAACAACGAAACCAAGGTCTTCTGGTTAAAGACGTTATTAGAGTGTTTGCGAAAAAAATCTTATGGAAAGAGTTTCACCTTCAAATGTCAAAAGTAAGATGTAAATGTTAACTGTTCTGTCAGGCAGTATTGGTTACTCTGTTAAAACCTTTATTATAACAGTAGCCTATTGAGTATTAACTTTTGATTTATTATGAAGAGCCGTTGCTTTAAATAAAGCAATTAATAAAATCAATTACAACAATGAATATTGGCCGATACGTGGCAGAGCTGACCACGGGGGTAGATTTCCGGGGGTAGATTTCCAGTCGCGGGCAGTTTCTCGACCATGTATAGGCCCGCGCCCCTCGTGACGTCAAAATGACGTAGGCGTTTTTTCATGGGGGTAGAAATCCGCTACCCCTTTTGCTTGAGTTATCGTGCTAACGGACACACACACACACATATATATATGAATTTGAACGCATGGCGTTTTTGGCCTCTAGGGACCTCAAAACGAAAAATTAAATCGGTCCCGGGTCCAGGTCTTACCATGAGTACTACGGTAATAGCTTATTCCCTATAGGCCAATGGGAAATTCGCTAAAAGCAATAACAAAGTAAAAATAAAGTTGTTTTTTTATCCTATATATTTAGTCAAAAAATTGCTTTGAAAATATTTAAATAGGTCAATAAAAAGTGGTAAAACATCCATCACCTGCTGTGAATAGCCTATCCTTACCTCTAAAAATGTGAAGTTAAGTTTTCAGTCTTCTTTTATCAAATTTCCCATATAGGGAATAAGCTATTACCGTAGTAGCCTACTCATGGTACCGTAAGACCTGGACGCGGGACCGATTTTTTCTAATGTTTTGAGGTCCCTAGAGGCCAAAAACACCGTCAGTTTAAATTCATAAATATATTATATATATATTGTATATATATATCATATAAATATATTATGTATATATATATATATATATTGCATATAGGTATATATTATAAATATGTGTGTGTCCGTAAGCACGATGACTCGAGCAAAAATGATCCGATTTTTACGAAATTTCGTATAAACGTGTAAACCTACATTTATTCTAACGAGTTCGCGAACCAGCATGATCAGACTATGGGAACAGGGTGTCGCGGAGTTATAATCCAACTCACATTTTGTTTTCTTTTTA